TAATCTTATCATTTTTAAATGCGTATCTGATGTATTAGACAGAATATATAGCAGTTAGCGAACTATGCCTCCTGAAAGCGAAACAACGTATTAAGAAACAGGGACATTTTGTTTGATTTCGTGATGAAGTGCTATGCAATAGCAATCCTCCTATGTAGCAGTGAATGCTGGACAATCTTATTGCAGATGAAGAGGATACTTGAGAGAAAATGATATTGTTATGCAGAAAGATGCTGGGAATAACATGAATAGATCATGTGAGCAACGAGGAAGCTTTATTTTTTTTAAATGGAAACAAAAAAGACACATCTAGAATCAGAAAAAATCGGTTATGATCTCTAGAACATAATAAGGAAAGAGGGATTGAAACATTTGGTACTCAGAAGACATACAGAAGAGGAACAGAAACAGAAGGAAACATCGAATAACTATGTAATAAGCTTAGGTAAACGATAGTAGAACGAGGTTATATATCAAGAAAATAAACTTTGTTTAAGCTTACAAAGGATATGCAGTTATGGTTTTAAATAGCAAGGTAGGTTGGGATCTCTTATCATGGAGAGCATCCAATGTAAGAAATGGTAGATCCTGAATTCAAAATCGTATAGAAGGCAATGGGAAACCACTTCACTATTATTTTTAAGAATACCTGACAGTTCACAGATAATAAAGAAAAGGAAACTGTGGAGTGTCATAACCGCTTCAGTTCTGAAAAGAGATGGCATTAGAAAATTCATATGATTACTATGCTAACGAAAGGTTTCCTCATTAGGATTTTCAGACCATCTTTGTGCGTTTGCATTTAACCTTGTACCTATCTTGAAATTGCGATATTTATTCATATATTCACATGAATATCAAAGTGAAATGTATGTATCGAATGAAGGTATATGCTAAGAAAATATAGGGAAAATGGATTCTTTTTTAAACTACAGTAAGCTGAGACGTTCATTTAAATCAACTAGCTGTCAGCATTTTTCTTGCACAAAACATTGTGTAAACCAATGAAATGACAATATCAATAAAACAGAATAAAATGTAAAAAACACAAAACAAAACAAAACAGCCATAATCTAAAATTAGTTTTGTCAACTCCCCATGCTTAAATTTCCCTCTGACGTAATATAAAGTATGTTCCAATAACTTGGACCGATTTAAAATGTGAATTAATTTTAAGCGTCTAATGATTTTTTTTTTGATTTTTTTTTTCAGATTTAACAACTTAATTCTTTGGCAATTTCAACCATGGAATGGGTAACGATCAAACAACGTGTTAAAATTTCAAGAGTGCAACTGGAAAAATTGTTTGTAAATTCAAACAAACAGGGTCGGTGGCAGACGTGAAAACACCATTGCGTACTCGTTTACGCCGTTCAGCTGAAAACATTGCTGCAATGTAGGAGAATGTGGCCGAAAATCCAGACACCTCTATTCGTCATCGCGCGCAAGAATCGAACCTCTCCACAACAACATTACATCGTTTTCAATTACACTCTCGGTTGGTCGATTATGTTGATCAAAAATCGCGAAGTGCGTGAAATGTATTTCTGTTTGAATGTCCATATTCGTAATAAGCTTCGAGAACTGATTGTTAATGTTTCCATGGTTGAAATTGCCAAAGACCTAAGTTGTTAAATCTGAAAGAAAAAGAAAACAAAATCATTAGATGCTTAAACATCACATTTAAAATCGGTCCAAGTTATTAGAACAGCCTTTATTACCAAATCTGATATAAGGTCTTTTTACCCGGGAGAAAAGAAATCATGACATATTTATTTTTATTCCTTTATATTACTTTCATTTTTACTCTTTTCCTCATCTAACCATATTACAACCTTACATAATCAATGAAGTTGAAAGTGTTTGAAAAATATTAGTCCTGGTACGGACAGAGCCTTATTTAATAAATTGAAAACTTATGAAAAATAATCCATTACACAAAGCGAAAATAATTTTTCAGTGTTTATTTGTAGCCTTAATGTATATATTTTGTTAAAGGAATAATGTTAATTATTAGCCGTTTCCTTATAAGGAAACATTCGGCATTCATTTACTCAGTGCTAAGTTCTTTTACAATTTATAAAATAGTATTTTAACTATTTTTTTCGAAAAAATAGGTTCCATAAGTTCCCTATTATAACTCTTTCAGGTATTGATAGGGGTTTCCTTCCTAACTTTTTGTTCCAAGTCGTGTGGAACGTCAACATCTTGATTATGTCATTATTTCGAGTTACTTGTGATATCCATTTTAGTTGTTTCTGTCGTTGAAAGTCCTTAAGTTATGTGGCTTCTTTTATTTGGTACAGTTATTTGTTTGTGATTATGTAGCGCCAGTCCACAACGTTTGGAGAATAACAGTCCTAAGAGTTACAGGGTTCATTCATTCTAAGCCATTTCTAATCATCATTTCTGATCTGAGAAAGAGGTCGTACATAGCTGACAATTTAGTTATTTTAAACGAGTTTGTCGCTATGTAAAACATCCACATAAAATATTCTCGATCTGACGAGGTTACTTCAGAACATTACTTGAGATTTTAGGCTAATGTTTTCGTTTTGTAGCAATTTGCGGTGTTGGGCAAAACATCGTCTAGTGCAGCCTACTTTATGTTCAATGTCCTTATCATCTATATTAAATTTGATACAAATAATCCATACACCGACATCGTCAGCAGTGATTATGACAATAGACTTTCAGTGCCCCCTCTATTCCAGATTATGCGACTCAAGCTTGGGGTTGCGAAGCCACCTCCGAGTTCACAGATGAGAGGCAGATACGACAGTCATCTTCGGATTCAAAGGCCAACCGACAATACTACATCCAGAATTTTGATGATGGATTCAGGGTGCAATCGCTGCTTTTATTCTAATTCTAGATCATAGATTATGTTTGGGAAATGATTATCTTGAGTTTTATTTCTTGTAATACCTGGTAGAGGATGTTGATGTTCTGTTCAAAATGGTACAATTCAAGATGATTAATTCATCCAACGATATATTTGAACGGTTTAGTATTTACTAAAAATACACCCAGAATTTTGATGAGGGATTCATTCTAATACTAGATCATACATTATATTTGGAAAGGTTTATTCTGAGTCCTATTTCTTGGAACACTTGGTAGAGAGTTTTGATTTTCTGTTCAAAGTGATACTTATTCCAAATATGAATACCTATGTCATCAGCATAGCCTCCCTCATTATACTTACATGGAGAAATATCTTTTTAGGATATGCTCGTCCATAGATTATAAATACTTGTTGAATAGTAGAAAGTTTGTCCCGAGACCAAATGCATTTAGCTTCAAGCAATGAACGAAACAAGCAAAGTGTAAAGGTTATCGATGCGAAAAATAGAATGGCAAAGCCGTGTTAAGTTTCACCCTGGACTGTTGGGTTCACTTAGCATTAATACACTTGAGAAATATATGAATGCATTCTTTCCTTCCCACCTATCTGTGGAATAATTTGCAAAGTTGTCTGAACACTCTGGACTCAGATGGCAGTCAGTCAGTCAAGGAGACGGGCAAATCCGAATTTGAAACCTTGGATAAAGCGACGTGAACTAACCCCACTTTTTTCAAGGAATCATAGAAACTCTTACTTAATAAATAAATGTATATGCGAAGAGCCGTGATCTACGTCCTGAAGAGACATGGCATTACAAAACTGAACATCCATGTGAACAAGGTCTTTCGAGATGATTACATTAACTACGTCTATATAAGAGTTACTCTCGGCCATTTGCTTTTTTGTCAACTTTTGGTTACGTTACATTAATCTACAAACTGACACAAGAAAAGTGTTTTTGCGCGTGCGCATGTGTGGGTCGATGGGAAAGAAAGAACAAGCTCGTTGTCTGCTCACATTATTATTTTTTACTCTCTGTTTTGAAAGTAACACACAAAAAATGTTTAATACTAATGACGCAAACAAAGCCTTTTAACGCGAAAAACCTGACATTTTTTGCAGTTCCTATGTGTCGCGATATATATATATATATATATATATATATATATATGTGTGTGTGTGTGTGTGTGTGTGTGTTTGTGTGTGTGTGACGATTGTAACAGCAAAATTGTCCAAATCATGTTACAGCATAATTGTCTATGCCACAAAATGTTTAATATTTAAAAAAAACCACGAAACTAATTGAGTTAATTTTTTTTTCAGATAAAACGTTTCGTCGTCGTGACAGCTTTTGTTGCGAGAATCATTGAAAAACCCTTTGAATTATTCAGCTAGAACGAGAACAGGTTAAAATCGTTTTATGTCAGCCCCACTGTCTTCCCATCTGAGCAATGGTGAGAGGAAAAAATCATTCAAGCCTTCAGTAATCGTACTAAAATTCATCCTCTGACTCCAAAGCGAACCGTGAAGAAGTTTAAAAAAGGGGGACATTTGGTTGTAAAACTGGATCAGGCGGTCACAACAGGAAGAAGAATCATCATTTCAACTTAGCGCTAAAGAGATCAATTAGAAAAGTTCTAAATTCATATGACGTTAGGTAAGTGGGAAAGGTGTTTTAGCTATGACAATCGAAGGCACAGTGCAAACAGATTTGAAAATGAAATCGTACGTCAAACATGTGAGGAAACTTATTACTCCAATTACTTTCCATTACAGAAAATTAAAAATTTAGAGAAGGCAAAGATCACCTTGAATAAGTTCAAAATGATCCTAGAATAATATATATATATATATATATATATATATATATATATATATATATATATATATATATATATTTGAACTTAATCGAAATCATTTATGAGATTTTGATTCTTAGCTATGATTAATTAATGATGAATATGTCATTTTCGTTTATGATCGCTTCATCACGATTCTCCTGCCAGGTTTGTAAAGTAATTATACATTGTTACTGTTCAAAGTAGACTTCAATAGTCTTATGAAAATCTCAGAGAATTCCCGTAATATATCTTTAATCATTTTTAAGATACAAGGTTTCAAAGCTTAATCTAACAATTAGACATTTTTACTGTTACACCCGGTATGAACAAATTGCGAAAGACAGACAGACAGATAGATAGATAGATAGATAGATAGATAGATAGATAGATAGATAGATTAGCGTTTTATAACTGTGTTGATCTTTTTTTAAGGATTCCGTAAATATATGGATAAATACATAGACATGCACACACTGATATATATATATATATATATATATATATATATATATATATATATATATATATAGATAGATAGATAGATAGGCAGTTTATAACTGAGTTGATCTTTTTTTTAATGATTCAGTAGATATATGGATAAATGTATAGACAAGAACACACTGAGATAGATAGATAGATAGATAGATAGATAGATAGATAGATAGATATTAGCTGGCTGAACCACATAGAGAGAAAAGTGAGAGTAAATATAAAGAAAGAAAGAGACTGATATAGGTAGAAATTGACTAAAACAGCTAGTAGCTACATAGATAAAGAGATTGCAAAATGTATAAATAGATTAAATTAGCAAGGGAATAAGTACTTATTTAAGCTTTGCCTAAGTTCTAATTATAAATAATAAAATAAATTAGTTAAACAGCTTCTGAAAAACATCACATCTTTCATAAATGAATTGCAGATGATTTTCATAGAATTCTAATATTTTTCTCCCAGAGATTCTTTGCAATGTCAGTTATTATTATTCTGAAGCCGTCAACATTTGTCTGGATAAACGGCGAAGCATAATTCGCGTTCAAGCCAAATATCCTTTCGCCCCCCACCTACTAGCTTAAAATACAATCTTGGTTATTCAACTTGTTTTATTGGATTGTCCGTTTACCGAATTCTAAATCCAGGTGCTTCGATCTTGATCACATCCAAGGATCCATTACCAGATTATCAAGTCAATTGATAAGCTTTGTGAATGTCGATGGATTTTCTCCGGAAATCCATGAAATCTCATAAACCCTCTCAAAGATTCCAATCCCATATCAATTTTTCATGCGCAAAAAACTGAAATCTGACTTAGATCCCGAGCATTGATCCGAGCAATCAATAAAACATATTTCGAAACAAAAATAAACAGCCTTGACGAAGACTTTCTAGTTCATTTGTCTTTCTCTCTCCCATTCGTTGAATGTGGCACATCACTATATTACTCTTTGAAGTATTGTCAGCGGAACTTTAACTAATTTGTCAACAAAGTATGGAGCTTATTATGAAAGTCGTGTGGGCTGTCAAATCGAAATCTCTCTTTTCTTCAATAAATGCAATTTCCATTAATCCTAGTGCATGAATAGAACCTCAAATCTAATAATCTATGCTCATTCACTCAACCACTGAGATGTGCGGGACGTGCAGTCAACAACAGAAGTAAACCATTAAATTCCATAACGGATGAAAAAGAGAGAAAGAAAAAGTGAGGCAAAGACAGCGGAACAGAGGCATAGATAATAAAAGACAGAAATAGGAAGAGATTGGGATAGAGATTAACAGATGGGATAGATAGATAGATAAATAGATAGATAGATAGATAGATAGGCAGACATAAAAATACTGAGTCATCTTGATAGTTATATTATAATTGACATATTCGGATGAAAGGGAAAAGAAGTGAAATAGATACTTGAGGATGAAATACACACACACACACACACACACATATATATATATAGTGATAGATATTGAACAAATGATATATATGTATATATATATATATGAATGTATATATATATATATATATATATATATATATATATATATATATATATATATAGATAGATAGATAGATAGATAGATAGATAGATAGATAGATAATACAAAATGCGAAGATAGATAGATAGATAGATAGATAGATAGATAGATAGATAGATAGATAGATAGATAATGAACAAAATGCGATAGATAGATAGATAGATACTTTTGGATGAAATAGATAGTTGAAGAAATTTGCTAGAACGGATAGATATATAGTTCAATAGATAATGAACAGAATCATATAAATAGCTACATATATAGATAATGAACAGAATTAGATAGATAGATAGATAGATAGATAGATAGATAGATAGATAGATAGATAGATAAAAAATGAGTTAGATACTTTCGGATGTATGAGTGAGTGACAGAAAGTGTGTAGAACAGATACACAGTTTGATGGATAATGAACAGAATCAGGTAGATAGATAGATAGACAGACAGCAGACAGACAAAAAAGAGATGGAAAGAGCATATATTACTCATAGGATATATATTTACTCAAAGAGCATGAGTAATTAACATTATTATTAAGAAAAAATAATCTTTATTATAATGGTCCGAATTTTGTTTGTTGCATTTTTCGTATCAAAATTAATAGCAAATCAGGGAGGAATCATTTTTATACAATGTTGGTAAAAGGCTTTGACTTGAAGAGTAGCATTATTTCGACTTCACCTTAAAAATGTGATGACTGCATTCGCGCTCACCTCCATAATAAAGATCCATTTTTTGATGTTTGTTGCAAAAGTTAAAGAAAAATAAACTTTTAAAGAAGCAAAATGAACATAGTTTCTAATTTCTCCACAAAATAATCATATCGATGATATAACTATACATTTATTTTTTAAAACATTTCTTATGTTCATATAGAAATAATTCTTTTGCAAAATGTATTTTTAATTACTTCACGGACATCATTAGATTATGGAAAAATTGTTAGTCGTTTTATTTCTTTTTCATCAAATATTCCTGAATTCCTGAAAATATTTTATGAGAAAAAAGCAACAACTTTTTTTTAAACTGAAAGGGTTAAATTTAAATTTCAAATGTAACGTATTTTTCTGAATATGAGACACACTAGCCTTATTTTGACGACAATGATTTTAAAACGATGCAAACTCTCGTAAGAATATTGTATATTATTCGAGGCATTTCTGACACGGCGAAGTTGGGCGGAAGGCATCCAACATCGAAATCAAATGTCAGTGGGGAGGGTCCCTTCCAATGGAATCAAATACCGTGGCCAAAACGAGCTGCAAGTTGGGGGAAACATTTGCTGCGGTTTAACTTGGAGACAAAAGGGCTTTACCATGTCTAGCTGCCAAAAGAACGGTACTCAGGAATGAATACCTTTCCGGCTTTCAACCTAGACAGGTAGAGGGAACTGTCATGTGGTCAGATACACAGAAACCCTTCGACCACACCCAGTCATGGGACTGATTATTATTATTATTATTATTATTATTTACGACAGAATATTGTAACATAACATCATTGTATCTCCTGGCGTATAATTTCAATGTCTGAATCAAAAAGTTGTTTCTCGCTATTTCCATTATTTCTCTGTCAAATAAATGTAATTTGCACGAACATTTTTTGTATATACTTGCTTCTTTCATTTGTCTTTCTGTTCTCACTAAAGTAGGCATTAAATGGCTTTGGCAAATTTTCAGATAAAATAAAGGCGATGTTTTTATTAGATTAACTTATATACACATTTAAAAACAGGAGGCAAACTAGAGAGGAGGCCATCTTGATTCTTTTTCTTTTGAATCGCAAGGCTTTTATTATTTTTCTCAAAATGTCCTTAAACAACGATATGGCAGGTATATAATTTTTTTTAAAATTATAATTATCTATTTAATAACTTAATATATAGAGATGCATTCCGGACCCAGGTTTGAGACGTATAAGACTAGCAACAAAATCAATACTTCTTCTTTGAGAGGGAGATATGATTAATCCCTGACGACTGAGCCGTCCCCAATGGCGACGTGCCAAAGGGACCTGAGCAATATTTGTTTAAAAAATGTTTAAGCCACCTCGGCACAGTCCATTTTGGTATTTGTGGTGTCACTACGTTAATCCGTTCGAGAAATTGTATGTATAGATACCTATATGTATACATCCATGCATACATACAGTCCTAATGTCATTGATAAAAGGCCTGAAATCAGGACCCTGCACTCGGTCCAGGCGTCAAGCATCTTCATAAAATATCTTGTGACTCGAATACCACGTTTATAGAAAAGAGATGAGTAAACAACTGGAGAAGTCAATCTCTGAAAACACCTTTTCTGTGGTCAGGTAGTTTTAGCAAAATAATTACTTTTATTTATCACCTTGGCGAAGATTAAATCAGTTAAAATATCTTTCTTTTCTCTCTCTCTCTCTCTCTCTCTCTCTCTCTCTCTATATATATATATATATATATATATATATATATATATATATATATATATCGGAGTGGAAGTTCATTGTTAAGTAATTTTACTAACATTTTCTTGCCGAAGGCGTATTGGAATAGGAAAAGATGGCTTCCACAGGCAAAGCAAAGTTATAAAACATAGAGAAATTGCCTAACAGTTATGTAATATATATCCTTCTACATGGCAGTGAATATTAGACAATTAACTGACAGGTGAAGTCGAGACTTGAGGCAACAACGATGCAGTTCTGGAAAAGGATGCTGAGAATATAAACAACGTACCTGGGCGGCAAAGTAGTTTTAAGGAAAATGGAGGCGAAAAGTAAAACTTATAGTTAGATGCACAAAGAAAGAGTTAAAACTCGCGGCACACATAATGAAGAAAGTGGGCATAACGAATTTAATACTCACGTAAACTCACAGGAATTACTGAATGCAAGAGGCGCGACGAATAATCTAACTAATGAATTTATGTAAATGAATGCAGAGCAGAGGAGGCTGGGATTGATTGTAAGTAGAAAACATTGCTTAGAGTTACAAATGTCATGAAGATGCGAAGCACTATGATCACGCACGACGGGTGGGAACACGGTATATAAAAGAAGAAAAACGGTTTAAATTAGTAGTGCATCAGTTGTAAACGACTATTGATACATGAATATACTTTTATTGAGAAAAGAAAATATGTGGAATATATATATATATATATATATATATATATATATATATATATATATATATATATAAAAAGAAAGAACAGCAAGATATATAATTATAGATATTTTTATTTTTACAAAATAGTGCTCAATGTAGATTTACAGCTTGAGGATGAAATGGAACTAATGTCTTTAATTTAATCACAAAATTAAATTCGTGGCTTTTAGCTTCCATTTTTGAAACATGGTTAGAACTGTGTAGCAAAAAAAACATATTTTAAATCAATTAATTTATAATATATATATATATATATATATAGTAAGATATATATATATATATAGTAAGATATATATATAGTAAGATATATATGTATATATATATATATATATATATATATATATGTATATATATATATAGTATATATATATATATATAGTATATATATATATATATATATATATATATATATATATATATATATATATATATATATATATATATATATATATATACAACTACATGTATACATACATATATATAGTAAGATATATATATATATATATATATATATATATATATATATATATATATATATATATGAATATAAATGTCTTTAAATAATTGTCGGACTTTCATAATGTTTGTCGTCACTTCTTTACATCTGGATGCGATTTGAGCAGATAAGAATATACGTGAGAGATTCATGGAAGATTGAAGTTTGAAGACAGTAAATTCAACCTTGCTAACCGAACGCTCCTCTGTGGCCAAATCGGTTAAAGGCACGTCAAGCTAAATGACGGCTCCTTATAGGATACAGGTTCGAATCCTGTCGGAGGACGAATTTTTTTGTGTGAAAAATTTAAAGAGACATTCAGACAGGTAAATGTTCTTTAATACTGTTTATTATAAACATAACATTTACGTAAATATTTGTATCTATAAAAAGAATGTATAAACATAAAAAATATATATATATATATATATATATATATATATATATATATATATATATATATATGTGTGTGTGTGTGTGTGTATGTATTTAGATAGTTAAAGAAGTATTTGGTAATCCGTATGGATAATCCCAAGAAGGATGTAATGCAGAGAGCTTAATGCAAAATCATAGCAAATATTAGTTAAATTTAAGGATTAATTTAATATATATATATATATATATATATATATATATATATATATATATAATGACAAATGTACATAGAAAAAAGTTTTATAAGTTAGGAAAGCTTTATACAACTGAGAATAAAGATTTGGTTATAGTGACCTTTTATAGTCCGAGTAAACAGAAATGGCACTCCCAAAGAGGAGAATACCAAAACAAGGGGAGACCACTCTTGATTATTCATAACGTTTATATCAATTTAAACGTTATTTTTAGTAGATAAGCATATTTGACTAGACGCTTCATTTATTTATTAAAAGTATATCTATTTTCGTCTGAGATATCAATTATTCCTGTATAAAATTTCATATCGGTTCAATTTCGTATGCAAAGTAATTTTCAATTATAAATATATATATATATATATATATATATATATATATATATATATATATATATATCACCTAATAATTAATCGAATCTAGAAAGAAAATCCTCAGCACGGGACGGACGTTTCGCCTCTGGGGGGGGGCTTATCAACAATGCATATATATATATATATATATATATATATATATATATATATATTGGATTGCTAAATAAAAATCCACTACTTTAGAAATAATGTGACTTTGTGTGTGTGTGTATGCATGCATGCATGCATGCATGTGTGCGTGTTTTTTGTGGGTGTGTGGTATAGTTTTGTTCAGCATCGTTTCCTCTGACAAATAGCGTTATTAGCGAGATGGAACATGTCTGTTTGCACCTCGTTATGGCTGACACGCAGGCTTGCTCCTGACGGCCCCAACTCATCCGGCAATGCTGCGGTACATGTTCGCATTTTCTGCTCTGATTGTCACTTTTCAGAGACACAACGATTCAGCACATCTTGAACGGCATTTTTTTCGCCGCGAGCTGTCTTTCAGCATCATTTTGACGTCCTCACTAGAGGACTCTGGCTGCTAAACTTCTCCTGCAGAGTTTGTTGGTGTAAGTTACGTAAGACTGTCGCTTTCAGCAAGAGCAGCTAAAAGTCTTTTTAAAAACAACGGATGACATCATGTCTCCCTTGAGGATGCAATTTGATTCTTAGTAGGTGTATGGTAATAACTTCATCACAATGTAAGGGTGGGTTCTTCTCCATTAAGAGTATATCTCTTCTGACATTAGTCCGAACTGGGCGCACACATATTCGGCGCTAAAACAAACACACACACACACACACACACACACACACACACACACACACACACACACACACATATATATATATATATATATATATATATATATATATATATATATATATATATATATACGTGAAAATTTATATACTACGATCGTATGTATATAAGAATACAGGATTATTTACGAATTGATCGACCCATACCATAAATTATCTATCTATCTATCTATCTATCTATCTATCTATCTATCTATCTATCTATCTATAGCTGTGTGTAAGTGCGTGTATTTGTTTATGTTTGTGTGTCAATATTATTCCGTGTGTATTCATATAATTTTCGATATATATATGGTTATATACGAGCATATGTGTGTATATATGTAAAATAATGCGTATATATGCGACAAATATTTATATAAATATATAAAATTTGTAAAATTATATATATATATATATATATATATATATATATATATTGCATGGACAGATTGTCGTCTAAATTACGCAAAAGGAAAATAACATTGACATGACATTTTAACAGATATATATATATATATATATATATATATATATATATATATATATATATATATATATATATATAAAAGTATCGTTATTGAGTATCCGCTTCATTGTTTATTTTGACCTTGTTGATAAAGGACACAGACGGCCTGACGATTGCGTCTAGCATGAAACAGCCTGTCGCCTCTGAGTGTTGACTTCAATGTTCACACACACACACACACACACACACACATATATATATATATATTTACATAGGCCCTATCTCTGATATTGAGCACTTTATCCCACACCTTAAAACTATATTTCTTTATACACACACACACACACACACACAAATTACACACACACACCACCCACCCCACCCGCACATATATATATATGAATATGGCAGTAGCTAATCGTATCTGCGTATGAAGTTAATATTTATACACATAATAATATGTATATTTATCTATTTTGACTGTTTATATATATATATATATGTATGTATGTAGAATTCTATATGCTGACACTCACACAGTTATATATAATGTGATATATAATCACACCTGCACATGCGTTAATAATTAACATCCATATGATTGCGTATCATTTTTGTATTTGTGCAGAAAATGCTAAATATTTCAGCTTCTAGTCCATTTATATTAATAAAGTGTATGAAAATTTTGTTTCTGAATACAGAATCGCGATAGGGAATTGGTTCGGAATAATTTATCACAGGCAATATATGGAAATTCTGTAAGAATTCGAAATAAAATCAGAGAGTGTTTTCAAAATTTTTATTACCATTTTATTCCGAAAAGTATTGTTGGTTATTGGAAGTATTTCGTTTGGAAGCTCTAAGTTACTTGAAAAAATATTGTTAAACATCTTTCTAATCTAAAAATATTTTTGGATCCCGTAGGAACCACGTACTAAATGTAATTTTAAAGGGAACATTTCAAATCTTTTCCGTGGTTTTTCCAAGAAGAATACCATCTCTGAAAATTATATTTGTCTGATCTTATATAGCAGACATTAAAGTTTTTATTTCAACTGTTTTCCGTTTACATTATAATCTTCTTTATATTAGGTACGTGTTAAAGTTCACGAAGATTTTTGTAAAAAATACATTTAATGCACTGTTAAAAAGAGCGTGGGAATGTTTATATATCAGACAATGTTAAAAAGAGCGTCGGAATGTTTATATATCAGACAATTCCAGGTTCATTCTTTTACATTGTATCTTTTCGATTTTTAAATAAGTTATTACATATCTAAATCAAATTGTATATAAACAGTCCGAAGTTCATATTTTGTTCCGTATTAGTTCTATTACGTTCGATCATCTCAGTCATTATCAAGAGCTGGATGTTGTGAGTATGGTAGACAAGATTTTGTTCGTTTCAACAGCCACTAGTGGGAATGCTACAGATCAATATAATTCACATATACTCCGATAATGCACCTACTTACAACGCCCTGAGGATCTGCCAGTTCCTCATCGGGAAGAACTTCGTCGTATTAGAACAACCTTCCTAATCACCTGATCTTGCTACGTGTGACTTTTTTCTTTTCCCCAACCTCAAGTGGACTTTGAAGGGGATCCGTTTTGAAAGTGTACAGATCACCAAGAGGATTGTAACGACAGAGCTGACGGGCAAGAAACCAACCAACAGTGCATGTAAGCGTGGTAGAGAAAGATGGAAAAGTGCATTAGACTCCAGGGTCTTACTTTGAAGAGAAAACATGTAGTTTGTTGTTTGTAATTGAAATAAATTGTTTGTGATACCAGGCCCGTTACTTTCCATAGAGACCTGTTATATATATATATATATATATATATATATATATATATATATATATATATATATCAGAAAGCAGAGTTCGAATTGAAGTCAAACTCGTTATATTTACTTGCGGCCAAAAACCGTTGGTAAAGAAAAAAATCCAACGTAAATAAGTATATATGAAACATGTCAATTGCTTCGTCCACCGCAAGGAAAGTTGGCTCCCTGTGTCGCGCCAGGAAATTTTTCTCCCCGGAATCAATCCTCCAGATCTACAAATTAACAATTCGCGCTTGCATGGAGTATTGCTGCCATATATTGTCTGGAGCCCCTTCTGTTTGCCTCGGGGTTCTTGATAGGCTCATGAGGCGGATATGCAATATAATTGGCCCTGTTCTGGCATCTCGTCTACAGTCACTTTCTCACAGACACGCCGTCGCCTCTCTCTGTCTGTTTTACAAATACTTTCATGGCATTTACTCCGAGGAGCTGCATTCGCTGGTTCCCAGACTTCATGAGTTCAAGCGCCCTACGAGGCTGGCATCCCGCTCTCACCCTTTCACTGTCGAAACTCCTAAATGTAGCC